AGCCTTGGTAGTTGTGGCTCACGGGCTTAGTTTCTCCGCGGCATGTGGGATCTTCCAGGACCAGGGCTCGAACCCCTGTCCCCTGCATTGGCAGGCGGATTCTTAACCACTGTACCACCAGGGAAAGGATCTTAATCAGTCTATCACCACTGCTGTCTTGGGTCTGTCTTGATTTCAAATTTTGCTACTCTTCCTTTTTAGTTATAACTCACCTTCGGTTTAGTTTCCCTATTATCTATTTTGTGATCTGTTGCGTGTTCAACTCTATGGTCTATTTTTATGTTTTGGGCTTAAAGTTTCCAACAACTAAACATCAATATATTCTACGTACTGCAGTTCAAATGAGAACCACATATACTCCTATTGCAAGAGCAAATATATATATATATATATATATATATATATACACAAACCCCAACAATGTATTCGTTCAGTGACACTTCCAGGCTCCACGTGTGCTCCACCAACAGGGAGTGTAGCACCTGGCATGTGACAGGGGCTCAGAAAATATTTATTGAACGAATATGAAAGCATGTGTATAAGCTCCCATTCTTAAGCGATTTAAATATTTCCTCGGGATTTCCCTGGTGGCGCAGTGGATAAGACTCTGTGCTCCCAATGCAGGGGACCTGGGTTCGATCCTTGGTCAGGGAGCTAGATCCCACACGCATGCTGCAACTAAGAGTTCACATACCACTACTAAGGAGCTGGCAAGCTGCAACTAAGGAGACTGCCTGCTGCAACTAAGACCTGGTGCAATCAAATAAATAAAACAAAAATAAATATTTAAAACAATAATTAATAAATAAATATTTCCTTGCCCAATTCTTTGATACATTAACAATGAGATTATGGTTTCAAAAGTAAAACAAAGCAAAACTGAAATCTGTTTTCCTATGATATTCATAAATATAAATATGCACCTATTTTGGCACAGCTGAAATTATCGGAAAATTTCCTTTTGATGACTCAAAATCTTCCTCCGTGACACTCCACCCACTCAGTACTGGGTCTGATATAAAAGAATAAGCCTGATCCTGCTCTCACATGACATTCATATATTGAAGACGGCCATGACATCAGCAACTAAATCTGTTCACCAGGATAAAATCTGGTGAGTTTTCAATTACACGGTTTCAAGTCCATTCTCCACCTACACCTTCATACTTTTCTGGATAAACTCCAGTTAGTAATGGCCCTCAAAAAAGTGGAACTTTTTCAACCAAACACAATACTTCAAGTGTGGTTTAATCAAAGCAGAACCCCCCACCTACCCCTGCCCCACTTGTATCACATGACTTTAATACAAAATTCACAAACCGGTGACACTCTTATGCCTGTAGAATGATTTTTTTAAATATACAAATGAGGGAGTTCCCTGGTGGCCTAGTGGTTAGGATTCTGGGCTTTCACTACCGAGGGCCCGGGTTCAATCCCTGGTTGGGAAACTAGGATCCCACAAGCTGCACGGCGCAGCCAAAAAAAAACCAAAACAAAACCAAAACGCTCACACACAAATGATTTTTGAAAGGGCTGGCTGCTCCATGTCCCCTATATTCCTCCAAGCCCACAGTCTTTCATTTATGTGCCTGGGCCCTGAATTTGCAACCCCTGCCTAAATCTTTTTTTTTTTTTAAACATGGGTTTCTATAACCACATCTATCTTTTAAAATCCACAAATTTTAGGAGAAAAAGAAAATCAAAGTTCACAAATAAGGGAAGCAAGCTTTAAAATTCAACTGAAAAATGCAAGCATTATCTTAAAAAGAGAAAGCCCCTGATTAAACTAGATGAGTATACTTATATAACTTCCATCTCAAAAAACAGAGGACTGGCCCTTGCATTCAACTTCAAAAACATCTGGTAAATTAGACTAAAACTCATTTCTCCTTTGGCAAGCATAAGCAAGACTAACTTTCCTACAGAAGACTCATTTTTTTAAAATCTGTATTTTAGGATCACTCTGTATTTTTCTTCTTTCACCTTGACCACAATCACAAAACTCCTCTTGTGTAAAGGGTGGTAATAAATTAACTAAAGAACTGGTTCAGATAACAAAGACCATGAAATAATAAGCTAATCTACTCTTGAATATATATATATATTTTTCAAGAAATAGGGCCACCCTAAAAAAATACTGCCAAATAAATACAAACAAGTACTGAATTAATAATTACCTTGTGTTTCTTTGCTTGTTAACAGGCATATAAAATGATCACTGCATTTTAATCAAATAATTTAAACACTCATTTAAATACTTACTGGTATACTATTATAAACTAGCACGAGGTTTATAATGAAGAAAAAATTTTAATTAAATCTTTATATACTACCTGCAACTGTTGAATGTAAGTATCCTAAGATACTATAATTTAATGACCTTGTATAAGGGAAAAGCTGCCTGCCATGGGAACTTGGCCATTGGATACAACACCACATTATTAATATCCGCACAGTAGTAACACATCATCTGAGTCACTGCTCAACCAAGCAAACCACATTCAGTTCCTTCTTCACATTCCTCCCTGCAATTTCATAACTAGAAAGGGAGGGTCTGTGGCAGAACCTTGTGAAAGAGGGCAGTAGCTCTAGGCAGTAACTCCCTGTCACAGAGACTTCTTTAATCATTCATGGAATCTTGCCTCCTCTTTCAGTACTTACTTGAGAAACCAAACAGCTATAATTAATACCCAAGAAAAAATGTTAGTCCTTACTGACAGATACAAAGCAACGCAGAGGTATTAGTGTTTAACTTTGTATTCAAATGATATTTTAAAAAAAGAAACAAAAACCTGGGTTTTAAAAAAAAAAACTTACAAAAGGCCAAAGTTCTTTTAAATATAGCAACTTTATACTATATAGTAACTTTATATAGTTATATAGTAACTTTATATTATATCCAGGAAATAACACTGAGACAAATATGCAAAAAAAATATATTTTTTAATTAAAAAAGCTATTTAGTGCATGGTTCTACCTTATGCAGGTATGCTAAGAACCTCTATCCATCCCTTAGAAGAGAGGATTGGTAAGTTTTCAAAATGATTCATCAAGATGAAATAAAATACAGATAAATGAAAGGCAGATCACTCATCTGCAATACTGCTGTGAGTAGGGAAAAAAATAGCACTGAATTGAGAATAAGAACTTTTGAGTTCTATGTTCCACAGTTAAAATAAAAATTGGACATGAATTTTGTTTTCTCTGTATGTTTAAAATAGTCAGTAAAACCAGAGTTAAAGTCCCCTCCTAACCTGCCATTCAACCTTATCTCTAAGAGAACAGAAGTCCAGAACTCTAACACAGCTGTCTCTAGGTATAAAAATTCACCCACAAACAGGATACAGGGCCTTTTGGATACTTCAGCTTCTCCCTTTCTCTAGAAAACCTCCTCCAAGGATTCAATAAAGGCACACGTTTAGTTGAAGAACAAGAAAATGCAAAGGCTCTCTGCTCAGTAGCTACCTCCAATTTTCATTTAATTAACACACTGTATTGGGCTCTGGGGAGCGATGAGGAGATGCTAAATCTATTTTATTTTTTTAAATAAAAACTGTCTATCTATCTACTTATCTATATTTTTTTGTCCATGCCGCGCGGCTTGCGGGACCTTAGGTTCCCCGACCAGGGATCCAACCCGGGCACCCGCAGTGAAAGCGCCCAGTCCTCACCACTGCACCGCCAGGGAAGTCCCCAAAACTGTATGTATTTAAATAAGGTGTATAACATCACTTGATAAGTTCAGGGTTTACAAGCATAGCAATCAATGCACAGCACCCGCAACTCGCCCCAAAGTTCTTCCAGTTATATTACCTTGAGAGAGGATTTAAATAAAGTGAGGTGCTTTCTACTGAGTCAGTGGGTGGGTCCTGACGCAGGACCTTCAACATCTGTTGGCCTGTCTTCTGCTTGGCAGGGCTGGCCACTAAGCCAGTTTCTAGACTGCCTTTTCAGGAGTCTGCTCTTCCGTAGATCAGCTTTTCTCCGGTCACTCCACCCAACCACCCTGCTCCTCCCTGCTCATCTGAGTGTGAGAGATAACCGAGTCTCCTCCCCAGAGCCGCTGCCTTTCTTAACGCCATGCCATTTTTTAAAATACTGCTTTTTCCAGGCTGATGGCACCTCTGCGGCTGCATTTCTCCTTATAATTGTTGGTATACACGAAGACCCATCCTTTCATAACAGCTCAGGTCACACAAGTTTACTTTTCCCCACTGGAAACTTTTTTAAGAGTCCTGGAGACTTGCCCAGCCCTCCCCTGCCCACTCGACGCCCCAGCCCCTTAGCCAGAAGAAATCCAGAAGAATGGCCCTGCCCGGACCTCCGATGAGAAAACTGTGGGGTGGGGGGGTTGGTCCCCGGGGAAGCGTGTCCATCTCCGGCCACACAATCACTGCAACCCTCGCCACTCGGCGCCCAGGTTCTCTTTGCCTCTAATATCCGCGCACCGCCTCCCTCCGTGCCAGGCGCACAACAGGCGCCGCATCAATGCACACCCCATTTACCCTCGGCGACACCCACTCGCAGGGCTGCTTCCTTTCTCTTCGCTCCAGGGCTTGGCCCCGGCTCACTGTTCTTCCTCAGACTCAGAGACGCTTCCTCCCGAACCTCTGCCTCTCCGCAGCCCCCGCGCGCTCACCAGCAACCCTCACCCATCTTCCCATTCCTCACCGATCTCTTTCTCGTTGACCCTCGGGGGAAAGCTGGCCATCTATGGGGCACCGTCTGATTCCGGGGGCGCGATGCGGACGCAACGACAGAGAAGGGAAAGGCGAGCGCCGAGGGGCGTGACGCGGGCTGGGTCCCTCCCGGTCCCGGGGACGGAGGGGAGGGGCGGGGCGGTCGCGACGGCTTCTGCCGACTGCCCCGGGAAAGCTCCGGGAGGCCTCGGACCAAACTACGGAGTCAAACACAGACAATAGATGCTGTTCCCTTCCTCACGCCTACGGACCAAGACGCTCCCCTCCGCACAACCAACTGCAAACGAGACACTGGAGACAAAATGGCGCGTGCCGCGGGGGATAGCAGGGCAGCGGGGGCGGGGCCTCGTGACGTCACAGGGTGATGGCCAGCCTCCCGACGTTCGGGACGTGACGGCCTCGGCTCGGCGCCCCGCCTTCTCTCCGGGTGCGCGCGGGCGTTGTCCTGGGGACGCGAAAGGGGAGCCGGAAGAGCGCCGGGGCGGAGGAGGAAGGGGAGGCTGCAGCCGCAGCCCAGCCCCAAACGCTGGGTTGGAACTTAAGGACTGTTCGTTTTAATTGTCTTAATTTCCCGGCCGGGAGGCCAGCATGGTATTTGTAAGTTGAAGAGCCTTTGAAAAGGCAAACACAGAATTGTATAATACATATTAGCGCACACCGTAAAGATTGCATGGAATTTAAACTGACTGAACTGTAAAGAACAAAAAAGACGTTTCAGGTTTTAACTCGGTTTGGCCACCTCCCCGGCCCTCACGTGCCGGGGACTGGAGGTTGCAGTGATGAAAACAGAAGACAATGAACATCGCTATGCACCCACACGCCCGGCCGCGAACGTTCTGACGAGAGCCAGCCGGTTTTTGGAAGGGCCGAGGTGACCCGAATTCAGGAACAGGGAGACCCGGGCATGATGGCGTCCCGCCCCACCATGAGACCTCCCGGGGCTGTCTTTGTCCTGGCTGCTTCCTGCAGCTGGGCCTGCCTCGGGGCTGCAGCGAGGCTGGCGGTCAGCAGTGTCCCTGCCGCTGGCCAAAGCAGACCTCACTGTGTCTGCTGAGAAGCAGCCCTTCCTGCGCCCAAGGTCTAGGCCTCCGGGAGGCAGCTAACCATTCACACAGCAGAGCTGATAAACGTGTCAGTGACTGCCAGAAGCCAAGTTGGTACCCGTATACAGATGACATATTTGCATTTTAATTGTCTCTTCTGTGGACTGTAAACCTAGTTCCAAAGGAGGACAACTAAGGCTGGGAATTTCAAATATGCAGCAGATGCAGGTGGGAGAGGAGTTGCATAGCCAACCTCTTTTGAGAGCTCTCAAGTGACAGCACCTAGGCATGGCTACTTCATCTTTTTCTTTGCATAAGGATAATTCTTCCAATGGTGAGATGTTTAATACCAGGTACAAGAAATCATCCCCCCTCCTTTTTTTAAAAAAATCATTTTGTTACATTCAGTCAACATATTTATTGATGGCTTACTCTGTGCCAGATACTGGGGCTAGTTGTTGAATATTTATAGTAGAACAAAAGAAAAATTTTAATGCAGTCTTGTAGCTCAGATACCAATATTTCTATCAGTCCCTGCTAATTCTTCTAACGAACTGCTAGTACCTCTGTTTACATGTACTGTACCAAACAAATTCATGGAAAATACCAGTTCTTGAGTGTCTGTGAATTGTTTTGGTGACTTTTTCGTACAATTGTTTAATTCCACTCTAGTTTATTACTGCTAGTCAACAGACTTCCAGACCATTTCCTCAACTGGCAAAGTATGACAATGGAATGAAAAATAATTGTATGACTTGCATACTCATTAGTGATAATATGTACTATTTATTGGGTCCATGCTACATGTCAGGCACCGTGCCATGTAAGTGCTTTTGTGGATTAACCCATTTAATACCCACAGCAGTATGAGCAGCGTATTAATCATTTATATTTTACCAACAGTTAGTAACTTGACAATAGTTACAGAGCTCCGAAGTGATAAAGTGCTAGATTTGAACCCAAACTTGTCTACTGCCCTGCCCTACTTCCATGCTACCTTGTCTCTCGTAAATGAACCCTACCATGAGAAGTAAATACATACGTGGCATTTCATATTTATATTTGCTATGTCAATGTCAAATCCGAATGGCTCTCTTATCGCCTGCATATCCCATAAAGCTGAGATTCTCCAGAGTTTTATTCTTGTTCCACAGCTGTTTTTCTTCTTCCACACTCTCCCTGCGTTATGACAACCTCTCTTTGGGGTTTAATTACCAGCTCTGTGTGAAGACTCTCAAGTCCAGACCTGCCTTCTTTCTTGGGCTTCAGATTTACATATTCATATACTTACAATAAAGTCTGATATGTCACAACTGAGAACAATCTTCTCTCCCAAAGCTGCTCCATCTGTTATATTCCCTACCCTAGTGAGCATGTCTATCCAGTCACCCAAGCCAGAAGCTGGAGTGTTTTTAGACTCAGGCCCCTCTCCCCCAACCCCATGTGGCATGAATCAGTCCCCAAGCCCTGCCAGTATTTTCTCTTAAACGTTCTGGAGTCTGTCTTCTCTGTTCCAAAACAGCTGCCACTGTCTTAATTCAAGAGCTTGTCATGTCATCTCTCTTAACACTCCTTTATAACCCCACACCCTAAGAAACCGCCATCAATACCTTGGTGCATTTCCTCCTAGGCTTTTAAAATTTTACTAGCTGTGTGTCCTTGGGCAAATTTGTTAACCTCCCTATGCCTCAATCTTCTCATCTGTAAAATGGAGATGGTAATATTACCTACTTCACAGTTTTGAGAATTAAGTGAGTTAATATGAGAAAAACATTTAGAACAGGGTCTGGCAACAACAGAGTGTCAGATACTAAGAGTAAGATATAAGTGTTAGATACTATTTTTCTACATAATAATCCCAGCTACCTGCAAAAGTGAAAGATCAAAATCTCATAAAATATAAGGGATTGGCAAAGAGCCATAAAAATAACATCAAGTATATGTATAATCAAAATCATTAGTAAAAGTTCTGGAAAGCATTCACCTCCAAAACAAAGCTGATCCAACCACTAAAAACCCGTTTTCTTGAATCTCATTCTTGAGTTATTCAGAAAACATTGCTGCTGTGTGGTTATCTACTAAGGGTGATTTAGTCATGATTTTTTTATGTGGATATCATTTCTTTTAAAATTTTTGAACCAACATTTACTATCTTGAAATATAATTTTTTAAAAATTTACATCCTGTCTTATTCCATTTTCTCACCTCTCAGCAAAATGTTGCATTAACAGTTTGGCATTGGGAATTCCCTGGGGGTCCAGTGGTTAGGATTCCATGCTCTCACTGCTGAGGGTGTGGATTCAGTCCCTGGTCAGGGAACTAAGATCCAGCAAGCCACGCAGCTTGGCCAAAAAGAAACAAACAACAACAACAAAAACACAATTTGGCATTTTCATGTAGTTATATCTCTTAAGGATGTATTTTTCTACACTGTTTTCTTATACTGACAGAGAAGTACATAGCATTAGAGAGGGGAAGCAAAAATTATTACATTCTTTTGTTTAAGGACAATAAATATAACCATTTTATATGTAAATAATTAGAATTTTGGAGTAGAATACAATATAAAATTTTGTGTCATGCTTTTTTTCTTTCTCACGATAAAATAATAGTTTCGTATGTAGATAAACTTTTCACCACATCATTGTAGGTAATTTTAACTTCATTTGGAGGTGAGTTTTTTTCCTTTCCTTCTTCAGAATACATAATATTTAATAGTGCAGAAAGGTGGGCTTCTCCTGTAATTAAACTCTCATTACTCATATGGACAGTGTAGGTATATTCCCCTTGATGTTATGAATGTATCCAGTTCAAAATTGTGGCCTGTTTTGGGAGACTCCATATTCACCAAAAGTTAGAACAGTTCAAGTGGGTTGTCTCTGAAGTTACAGACAAACCCCTAAATTAGCTTTAAATTGGGAAGGATTCTTGCAGGATCTTGTTTCTGAATATATATCCTGGTGAGAGTAGAAAGTAAGTGTTCCCTTCCTATAACTAAAGGGAAGCAATGTTTACTTAAAATAACAATCAAACATGACTTTAAAAAAAGAAACCCACTAATAATTGTACAACAGGAGTTTGAAGCCTACCACCACCAGAAAAACAAAACAAAACAAAACAAAAACAGAACAACAAACCAACATCCAAAATCCCGAATATTTTATTGTCCTCTAGTGTGGTTAAATCTCAAAGATGAAAAAGATCGCCATAGTCTTTTGACTCACTATTGACTGAGACCAAACAAAAAAAAGTTAAGAACAGCCTCATTGTTTAAGCAATAGGAAAGTTGCTTGTGTGCCTGTTTGTTTTGCTTTTTGGACCTTTTTGCTATTCTTGCTACAGCTCCCCCAGGCTAAGCCTAGGAATTCGCCCAAAGTTATTCAGTGCTTGGGTCCTAGAGCAGGAGTTTCGGATCTTGGGATTTGTGGAGTTAAGTCTGGGATCCTGGATTGAAGAGTGTGGAATTTGCTCAGAATTTAGCTGGACAAGCGTAATTTATACGCACAAACATGTGCATTAATAAACTGTAGTAGATACCTTGATAGTTGTAGAACATACCGAAAAAATAATAAAGCCCAGAGGAAAATTCTGGAGGCAACTCCTTTTGTCTGTGGTAGTCTTGCTGGGGATGAAGTGTCTAGAAATGCCCCTACTTTTACCCTGCTGTCTTATTTTTCACTTTTCCTCCTGGTTTCACATTTTTTGTGAGGTGTTTGACAGTGTGGTATGAGCAGAACGTTAGTATCAGGTTTTCAAAGATGTATAATTTGATCTTAGTTTACAACTATACCCAGAATGGCCGAAAGTGTGGAAAATGGTGTAGCCAGTCTAGATGTTTCTACATCTATGTCTGAGCCAGAACACTCCTGGCAGCCTATAGGAAATTATCGTATTATATCTACAAGGGTAAGCGGAGACCCTGTCTCCAGTGTTCTGTAGGATTCCCAGAGCTTGTTGCTGAGCTGACTCAGCTCCATCCCCTTCTCCTCTCCTTACCCACAAACTCAGGGCACCTACACGCACGCAGGCTCAGTCCTTTAGCTCAGTCCTGGACCTTCAGGAGAAATCTGTATAAAATGGAATATTCCATGCAGTGATGGAGATTTTCCTCATATCAGTCATTTTTCTCTTCCTGTGATAGAGCTTTGCATTTTCATTTTTATAAATGTTCCTGCCTATGACCATCTGTAGAGATTATGAGGGAGAAGAAAATTATCTTTCACCGACTGCATGAAAGGCAAGGGTTTCTCTTACTTGTCCTCCCCTCTATTCTATGTTTGGGAAATGCTTCTGTACTCTTCTCAACTTCAGTTGCCTGACTTTGGGGGCAACTTTTTAAGTCAGCTGTTTCTTTCTCCCTTCTGTTGGAGGGTGCCAGCATTGGCTGGAATTTGAGTCCTTCTCCGGGGACCCAGAGAGTCCTGCGGACAGCTCACAAGCTATCTCTACTCGAGCTGCTGGCCCCAGCCAGTCTTGCCCTGGTGGAATGGATTTGAATGCAAGATCTTCCAACTGATACCTTTACTTGCTAACATATGGGTCATCGTTTCTTTTAGGCTGAGGAATTTCTGACTGATTTCCAACCCTCCTCCATATCGTTTCTTTTTAAGTTCTTTTTTAATCTTCCATATTGTTTTACTTTCTGAATTTGTTTTTTCCTTTCTATGAAATGAATTCTCTTGTTATAATGAAAATGTTTCATTTTCTCTACTTGGTTTTAGGTTCCTTGAGGGCCATGACTTTTCTTTATCTTGGAGTCATTTTTAGGATTTTGCACATAATTGATATTCAATAGATGTTTGTTGAATGGAATTGAATTGACTCTTTCTTCTAACTTCCCACTAGGGTATTTGAGGTAAATTGAGAAAGCAGGTGTTCCTATTACTGTCTTTACAAAAATCAAGAGAAATCAAATTCGAAAGTTTGCTAGTAGGAGAGTTCAAAGATTAAGGCAATTGTGATCGAAGCCAATAAAAAAAAATTGTGTGATTTTGCTTATTATTTTTACCTGGAAAAATAAGTGTATTGAAGAAATAATCTCCAATGTATAGTTAGGAGTCTTCGAGACTAGCATTTAAACTAATTTCTCAGAGGCATAGAATCATTTTCAGATTCATAGCTGGAAGGGACCTTAGAGATCATACAGTGTAACCTTATTTTACAGGTGATGAAACTGATATTTGACTCTACAAATGAGTTTCTCATATTCATACAACTAGTTAGTAAAAGAAAGAAGATGGGGCACAGTTCTGCTCATGAGGAGCCTGGCACTTTTCACATTGCACTGTAGTTCTTTTACCATACTGTGGTTATTTGTATACATGTCATCTCCCC